TACTCTTTTGGTATTGAAGTTCTTGTTTTCCGACATTCGTGCCGGACTGCAATCACACCAACCCCAGCCCCCAGTATTCAACCACGACCTAGTGAAGACCAAGCCTGCTGGAGTATATGCTATATCATACATCATACTCAGTTTCACGAAGATTCCCCACCAGCATCTCCATGCAGTTCCTTTTCCAGTATTTTACAGACCGGAAGAGCTTTCCGGTCAGGTTGTAGTTGGTTCCGACATTCGTGCCGGAATGCAATGACACCAACCCCAGCCCCAGTATTCAACCAAGACCTTTCCTTTGAAGAACAACGCCTGGAGTGTACTAGTATGCTACATCATACATCATATTCAGTCTAAAGAAGATTCCCCAGCATCTTTATGCAGTTCCAGTATTTTACGGCCCAAAAGAAGATTCCGGTCACGATTGTTGTTGATTCCAGCATTTGTGCCGGAGTGCAATAACACCAACCCCAGCCACAGTATTCAACCAACCACAGTTACTCCAGCTGAGCGCTTTGCCTCCGCTGGATCCATCCCCAGTTGTCAAGGACTGGAAAACCCGGCGCTTTCCGGTCACGATTGCTGTTGTTTCTGACACTCCTGTCGGAATGCAATAACACCAACCCCAGCCCAGTATTCAATCACGACCTTGTGCAGCACAAGCCTGGAGTATATGCTAGATCATACATCATACGCAGCCAGTTCTAAGAAGATTCTCCAGCATCTCCATGCAGTTCCAGTAATTTACGGACCGGAAGAAGATTCCGGTCACGATTGTTATTGTTTCCGGCATTCGTGTCCGAATAGAATAACACCACCCCATCCCCCAGTATTCAAGACCTAGTGAAGAACAAGCCTGGAGTATATGCTATATCAAATATCCTACTCAATTTCGAAGATTCCCCAGCATCTCCATGCAGTTCCAGTAGTTTACGGACCGGAAGAAGATTCCGGTCAAGTCGTTATTGTTTCCGGCATCCGTGCTGGAAAGAAATAACGCCAACCCCATCCCCCAGTATTCAACCAAGACCTTGCAAAGAACAAAGCGTGGAGTATTCAACCAAGACATAGTGAAGAACAAAGCGTGGAGTATATGCTAGTACATCATACTCAGTTTCAAAGAAGATTCCTCAACATCTCCATGCAGTTCCAGTATTTTACGGACCGGAAGAGCTTTCCGGTCAAGTTGTTGTTGGTTCCGACACTCGTGCCGGAATACAATAACACCACCCCCAGTTACTCCAGCTGAGTGCTTTTCCTCAGCTGGATCCATCCTCAGTTCTCAAGGACTGGAAGCCCTTGTGTTTCCAGTCACGATTGCTGTTGTTTCCGACATTCATGCCGGAAGCCAACAGCACCAAACCCAGTATATAACCAACAAGACCTTTGACCGGAAGCCCCAGTGCTTTCCGGTCACGATTGCTGTTGTTTCCGACCTCTGTGCCGGAAAGCAACAGCAACACCCCCACGATTGTTGCTGTTCCTGTCCTTTGTTAGGGACCAAACTAGCAACACCCCCAGTATTTGACCTCCTGACCAAGGGTATCAGGGTTATTGGAATTATTATCAGTTTCTTCTTCCAGAAGATACTCACACAGCTGCTTCTTTGGGTGGGAGCAGCTTCAATTTGGTGAAAGAAGTGTGACGTTTCCTTTTTTCTTTTTCTTTTTTTTGATTTTTTCTTTTTGACTCCATGTGTACTCGCCCACTGTGGGAAGTCTTGCCTTGATTGGCTTGACAGTGTGCTTGGCACAAATTTCCTTGATCACTGCATCAGTGCTGGCCTACAGGTTGGGGATTGAGCACCCCTAATCCACAGGCTTGGCAGTGACTTTTGAAATGATATTGGCATGGTTCTCATCCATCCAAACTGTGAACCACCTGCTTTTATGTCCTCTGAGTTCAGCCTTCTTGGGCCTTTGGCCTATCAGTGTGCATAAAACTTGGTCGCGCCTCCACAAAATCTCCTCGGAGGGAGGTGCCGCCCCTTGGAGCAGCTGGAAGCATTCTTTCTAACGAAAGTTATGGTTCTGGCCATATAGTGCCTCTTCTAGTTCACGAGGTTAAATATAATATTAAGTTTTTTTTTTTTAATTGACATAAAGGTGCTAGACAAGGACATTCCAAAAATTACAACAAAGAAATATTGTGATCCGTCAAGTTGGAAAAGGAAGGGTGGCATAAGCAAGGAAGAAAACTACTAGTATACAGCTATTTGTGTCGAAAGGTTGAATTACTACGCAGTTGCCCAGAAACAGGAAAGGACTTCAAAAATAAACTCTTTTTACTTCTTGAAGCAGGCATATCAGTGGGAAATCCAAATGACAGCAAGGGAGGTGTATTGGATGATGATGATGATGATGATGATTTCATTTGTCCTTCTATTGGAGAAAAGTTGGAGCAGTATCAAAAGGGGAACCTTCCTTTGAAGGTGCCTAGAATATGTGGTGGTAACAATGGCTTTCACTAGTACTGGTGGCAGTAATATCATAGTGAAGTAAACATAATCTATATAAAAACACAGAATCACATTGGTTTGGCATTGGATTCTTTGATTTTAATTACAGAAAATAAAAAACCGTTTTCCCCCTTACAAAACCCTTGAGGATCTGAAGCGGAACTATTTATTCCAGACAAACAACAAAAGATTTTGAAACTGAATCTACTTATTCCAGTAGTCACATACTTTGAAAATTAAAAAGCAAACTATTTATTCCACTCATGCACCTCAAGAATTTCAAAACTAAACTTTTTATTCCAGTCACCACACCTCCAAGATTTCAAACGGAACAATCTATTCCAGTCACGACACATTCAAGATTTTGAACCAAAAAATTTATTCCAGTCACGACACCCTGGAATGAACAAAACTGAGCAAAAAATGAAAAGAAAAAGCAAACTGAATATTTTTTATTGAAATTATTTCCAGTGACCACACACAGAAAAAATTATAAAAAATAAAATATAAAATGAATGTAGTGAGTCGGGTTGGGAATCCATCATACCGTGTTATTTTCACTAACAAAATGGTGGTACAGACAGGTACGGAATACAGAAATATACAACCTTGAGGTGGATCAAGAAACAGTTCTCGGACGTTACTTTTAGTAGTACTACTACTGTGTACAGGCATTTTCCATGTAAAATATTAAAAAAATTGCAGTTTTTCCTCACGCAGCATAGTTGTTTGCAAATCTGTGGGAGAGCCCCTGATCAAACATTTTTTAATACCATGTGACATTCACAAAGCTTTGTAATGGTAAAAGAAAATAAAACCTTGAAATATAGTATACTAGTAGTGGAATGGGTTCTCCTTTTTGGGAGTGATATAATATCCATTCAGAATAGAGTCAAAAAATAAGAAAGTGAATTAACTGAGTTGCTGTGAGTAATTAACTTGAGTATTTAAATTAATTAACTCAGTTGCTGTGAGTACTACTACTACTACTACTACTACTACTACTACTACTACTACTACTACTACTACTACTACTACTACTACTACTACTACTACTACTAC